TTTAATAAAATTAAATAAAACGTGATAAAATGTGGATCAGTCCTCTCTTTTTCTTTTAATATAAACTTAAAATAAATACACCGATTTTCAATGGACTAGTTAGGTAGTTAAATGACTCACTTAATTTTTCCTACAAGCTTTGATAGTTCAGAAACTTTGCCGGACGTACATTTCATTAAGGAAGTAATATATATGTATCTATCATATTCATTATCTTTTACTGTCTCAGCGAGAGAGAGAGAGAGAGAGAGAGTTTTTTTATATTAATATAAAAATCAAAATTTTGAGAAATAGGACCACGTGTCAATTGCATTTATATTTCAAGATTCAAAAATATAAAGATTATGAATTATTATATTTAAATTGACACTCGATAAAAATTTAATCACTACAATTCTATTTCCTTTTTTCAAAATACAATGTCTTATAACATGTGATATATTAATAAATATATGCCAAACAAAAAATGAAACAGCAGAAAGTTCTAATAACTATTTCTGGGTAAAATATGAATAAAATTTGTTCTTAACGATCTCTTTTTTTCGATTATCCCGCAGTAATAAATTATATTCATAGTTCTCTCACCGCCAGTACTTTCATAAATAATTTTCATCTATTATGCATAACATTCTAACATAAATCTTGTGTGTGGCAGTTACACAAGAACGATTGGTGAAATTCAATCTTTTACCTAATAATAATAATTTATAACTTGCTTTAATATCCTTGTTAATACTTTAATAAGACGTCACGTGAGAAACGAGAAGCCGTTATAATTATTATACCGTCTACAAAATACATATTAAGTAGCATAATAATATTCCATTACCATCTCATCGAACATAATTAAAGGCGGCCGCGGGAGTAGCGTTGCCTGTTAGATAAATAGAGGTGATAAGTAAGATTTACGCGGCTATCCAGTTGTTGCGCTACGACACATCCGTGGCGAGACAAACAATATATCGTCGCCGAAAGAAATATTGATGCATGAGCGATGGCGCTATTATAGCAGAGTGGAAAATATATATTGCGAATGACGCACGCGCAAGAGAGAGAGAGAGAGAGAGAGAGAGAGAGAGAGAGAGAGAGAGAGAGAGAGAGAGAGAGAGAGAGAGAGAGAGAGAGAGAGACGACGACGACGAGAGAGAGAGAGAGAGAGAGAGAGAGAGAGAGAGAGAGAGAGAGAGACACGGACGGAACGAGGTGCGACGGCGCAAGCAAGAAGGAAAGAGAACGTCGGAGCAGCGAGAGAGAAGCAAAGATAGCCGCGAGCGCGAGAGGTAGATAGACGGAGGGAGATCAACGCGACGTTTTGCGACCGTGGAAGTAAGGATCCACGCCGCGCGACTCACGTCGTCGGTCTAGCGGAGCACCGCGCGGTAGCGCGCCGCTACGTAA